GAGTCAATTAAAATCCTGAACTCGAACATGACGCAACTAGTATCAAGTTCAGATTTGATTTTTTAGGTCGGATTTGGATTTTTAAATTCTTGGTTTGGGTCTGGATATTTTAGTGTTCGATCGAGTCGGTTACAATCGAATTCAGGTTGGATTGTCGGTTACACAAGAATAAAGGATAGAGATGGATAGAGACGAGGAGTGGACAGACACCCTCAATTTAAATCCTCTGATGGATACCTTACCGGGGAGTATCCAGCCCAATAAAGATAATAACGGTCCAATATAAGGTCCATCGAGCAGCAGGGAGTTGGATGCGCTCGGCCAAAGGCACCTTACTCGGCAGAGCAAGACTTAGAAGAACCCAAACTCCCAAGATGCAACCGCACTGAGACAAGCATCTGTACTCAGCCTAGCAGCACGTATTCGGACCCAAAGTTGAGTTGGTCATACTGGGTCAGACCTGAACAGACCCTCACTCGGGCAATCATCCAGCAAAAGATTCGGGTGCTCGGCCTCGGTCATCGAAGAAGCAACACAGTCTCATCCTTGTCTTTAGGTCTTATACACCCTGTCTACTCTACGAGCCCACTCAAGGACATCTCTGGTACTATCCATCTGTACACCATTTGTAATCATGTTGTTTGTAATTACACTTGATTTGAAAATAAATGGATTGGGGAAAGAAAAGGCTCAAAATAATTGATAGTACTACTCATACCAACAAGGTGCATCTTGTTTACGAGAGCTCATCACTCAGAAACTCCAAAACTAAGCGTGCTTGACTTGGAGCAATTCTAAGATGGGTGACCCTTGTGAAATTCTTTGGGCGCGCACGAGGGAGGACAAAGTGTGCGGGAAAGACTTGTGTTAGTCTAAGATCTGATTCTAGTAGGCCCCGACCCACTAGGCCATGTCCTAAACAACGGCTAGGAAACACATGTATAGGATAAACGTATTATATAAATACCTCTCCCACTTTGGGAAAGGGGGACGTGGTCACTACTTAGTAAATATACTCACTCTACACTCTTACGACAAAAGACACTCAACCCTTGTTCGATACTTTCCTACTAGTCTTCTAGGCATTGGATTGGTTCTTAAACCGATCATCCTCATTCCCCTCCAAAATAGTAAAAAGCGGATCTAATAGAATTCAATAAAGCTAGGGGTACACCAAAATAGTGTACCTCATTTGTACAACAGGTAAACACAGACACTAAGTGTCTATGATCACATACACTTAGTGTCTCTGTTTGCCTGATGTATAAATAGGGTACACCATTTTAGTGTACCCTACCACGGGCCAACGAAATTAGATGGGCTATGAGCCTATGATTGGGATAGAAGTGGTCAAGATTTGTCAATGGTCATTTGCCTGGTCCTCGAAAATATTAAAAAGCATTTCAAAATAATTTGTTACCATTCGTTTTTTATAGTTTGTGAAATATAAAATAAGTTTCGTAAGTAATTTTGTATGTAATTATTCATTTTTTCATTTTTTATGTTTCTTTATTTAAATGTACTTTTGATTTTTCAAAAACAAAGGATTTTATTATATCTTGAAGTGTAAAATAGATAACATGTATCCATTCCTCCAAATTTCAAGAGTAGGGATGAGCAAGTACCAAATTGATCTTGAAATTTCACGAAAAATTGAAAAAATTGAATGGAAAAATATTGAAACTAAAAAGTACCGCAAAAAGATCAAATTGAACGGTCTGTTTGGCATTTTGTAAATGGTACGAGATAACTTCTCTTACCGAAAATCTCGAACCAAAAATATATGTTAATATATTTTAAAATATAATAATCCCTTCATATTTCTTCATTAAGTGATAACTTTATTATGAAAATTTGGTTCAATTTGTACATTGTGTAAATTTACATTTATTCGAATTTTATTTTTTTGTAGATGAATTTTGAAAAATTAAAAGCATTTCTAAATATTTTGTTATCATTCGTTTCTTTTTAGTTTGTGAAATATAAAGTAAGTTTCATAAGCAATTCTTGCATGCAACTATTCATTTTTTTCAATTTTTTATGTTTCTTTATTTAAATGTACGTCTGATTTTTCAAATATAAAAGATTTTGTTATATTTTGAAATGAAAATTAGATAGGCATTTATTCATTCCAATGTATACTTAAACGATATCGAACCATACCGAACTGATAGATTTGCGAAAGCTGATTGTCCAATGTGATTCGTTATAGTGTGTTGAATGGATTCATGGTAGACACACTACAAGAGGTCCGGCACACGAAGTGATTGAGGCATGTCAGAGTTGGATGGGAAGAGATTAGAATGTTACCGTATGCAATATTCTAAGGGGTCAGTCAGAACAAAGTCGCAGACTTACTTGCTAGAATGGGAAAGGACAGAGCATTGCTTTTGAGAGAGTTAGAGTTCCCACCAAATGGTGCATGTCAATTGCTAGAGGAGGATAAACTAGGATACTATTAGCCTAGGCGTGTGACAGTGAGGAACCTTTCTTGAGGTTCTGGGGTTTTTACTTCTCCATTTCAATAAAAAAAACTATTTTTATCTGATCTAAATTAAACTGATTATAATTAAAATAAGTAATAAGTAAAAAGAAAAAGTTAAAAGAACAAGTTTTATGTACTAATATTGGTTAGTATAGAGTAGCATTAATCATATATGGAGTACAACAGTGGGCCAAGGATGTTATGGTTTAATGGGACCGTTGTGGCTCTTTTGAATCAAAAGTCATGTGTGCGAAACTTTCTCTTCAACTTATTTTTACTACTTATTGCTTATTCTTTTCAAAATCAAATTAGATCCATTTAGTTCAAAAAATTTAAAAAATAAATAATTTTAAAATAATACTAATAATTACAATAATAATAATAATAATCATCATCATCATCATCATTATTAATTAATAGTAATAATTAATAATAATACTAATTAATAATAATTTATTATCATCATACTTAATAATAACATCAATAATGATGATTAAAATAATAATAATAATAATAACAATAATAATAATTACTCCCTTCATCCAAAAATGTCTTTCCCTGTTTGAATTGGCATGGAGATTAAAAAAGTTAAAAAGTGTAAAGAAATAAATGTATTGTCCTTGATGTGATAGAATAAAATGGATATTATAGATAAAAAGTAGGGGTATAATGACACACTCATTAAAAGCTTTTTGTCAGAATAGGAAATAAGACAGAAATTTTTGGACGACCCAAAAAGAAAAAGGAAAACTTTCAAGGTAATAATAAAAAATAATGAAAATACCAAAATAGAAGTTATAAGTCTTTTAATAAGATCAAAATAGAAGTTCATACTCTCATTGCTACACTCACCACATTATCACATTGTAACTACCACATTATCACCGTCACAGTGTCATCTGTCGCTGCCACCCACTAGAGTACCGCCGCTGATCACCGACGATTGACTGATCACAGTGACATATTACACTATCATCACGTAGTATTACACCATACTACCATATACCCCTATTTTGATCTTAAAAGACTTAGGAAATCTATTTTGGTATTTTCGTACTTTTAATCTTATCCAGGGAGATTTCTTAAAATGAAAGTGAGAAAGAAATTAATGGACGGATGGAAACTAATAATAATAATAATAATAATAATAATAATAATAATAATATCAATAATAAGAATAGTAATTACTATTTTCATTATTAATTAAACATATTACTATTTAATAATAAAAGTAATAAATAATAATAATAATAATAATAAATTGTAATCATACTTAATAATAACAGTAGTAGTAATTAATACTCCCTCCGTCCCAAATTATAATGCATGTTCACTATTCACAAGGTCAAACTTCATTCACTTTTTTTCTCTATTTTCGTTAGCAAATTGATAAAATAAAATTATTGTTGTCACTACTAGCTTTGTAGATCTTTTAATGTAGTATTTTGATATGTAATTTTTATTTTTTAATTCTATACCATTTGTCATATAAAATGATTTGAAAATAACTTCAGTCAAACATCGTAAACCAAAACAGGCATTATAAAATGGGACGGAGGGAGTAATAATGATGATTAATATGATAATACTCATTATTATTAACTAATAGTTTTTAAATAATGATAATAATAATTAATAATATTTATTTGTAAATATAATAATAATAATTTTTTTTACTTAATAACAATAAAAATAGACTTTAACAATACTTATTATTTTAATAATAATAATAAATATAATTATTAAAATAATATTATTATTAATCAATAACTAACAATTATAATTATTCATAATAAAAATTATTATTGTAAATATTAATAATAATTATTAATAGTAATTAATAATAAATTATTATTATTAATCTGATTATATAAATTTCAATTAAGTCCATTCAGATGAGATCAGATCCATTCAGATTAGAACTGATTCATTCACATCATATGAGATCAATTCAAATCAGATTCTTTCAAATCTGATCTGATTTATTCAGATCAGATCTGATTCATTCAAATTGAATCATAACCATTCATATCATATCAAATCAAATCAAATTAATCTTAAAAAATTCAAATAAGTTGAAGAAAACGCGACCTTAATAAGAGCAATAATTCTATGAGCTTTAATAAATTGAAGAAAAATATAAACAGTTACTACATTATCACAGAGTAGAAAAGAAAATGATATGGAAATATGTTTGCTTGAGGAAAGGAAATCAAAAATAGAAGGAAAAGAGAAAATAATAAGCTAAGAAGATGAAAACATGACTCCTTCGATTTTGTTGGAGTAAAGGAGAGAAATTATTTCCTTTCCCCTTCCTTCCTAATTCCTTTTACCAAACATAAGATCATTTTCCTTTTTAACACATTGAAGTAAACTTATTTGGAAACAGAAGTTGTGTTTTGGAAGTGCAAAAAATGCTGAATGGATTACGAGTACTTTTTTTTATGTGGAGTAAAAGAATTCATACTCTAATTTAAGATACTACTATAGGAAATTCTTTCTATATCCGTCCATACATTTCAGCTCTTGCTGTGGGAATATGAAAAATTGAAAAACTATATCAAATGTACCATCCTACCCTTCAACTATTAATCTCATAACTCTCCATATCAAACAAAGATCGACAGGCCTAAAACTGGAAGCTAAGTCTAAAAATGGAAATAAACAAAAGCAACAAGTAAACTAATGAATGAATGAATTGATAACACCAAACAGTCATCCCTTCCTATTCAGCTTAACAGCAACAACTCATCACCTAGCAATCAAATTTCTTTCCTTCTCACCAAAAAGTTTTCGGGATAGGAGCAAAATTACGCTCTCCGTCCTCCACCTCAGGAGTCCGGTAATACCTCCGGGCTCTATGTACCTTCAACTTAAGGGCAGCTACCTTACGGGCGATTGCCTGCCAGACCATCTGGACGGCATCGCCCTCCTTTGAAGGGTACCTGTACTCGAACACATTCTCCACCTCCTTCAGCTTCCTCCACATCTTAGTCCACTCCTCTCTTGTGATGCCCCTTATGAAGTTGAGGAGAAAATTCTGTTTGAGGGCATCGGACGTTCTGACAAAGACACAAAACTGGGAGTAGTCGATCACATCTTCGTAGGGAAGCTCAATGTCGTCGCTGATGATGACTGGGACACAGTGGCTGGCAATGGCATCAAAGAGGCGGTTCGAAGAGGGAGTGTCCCCTGCAATGTTGAGGCAAAACTTAGAGGACTGCATCCCGCGCGTCGCTTGCCGTATGCCATCTTTCTGAATGTTCCCAAATGAGAAGTGCACGTCTTTCTCGTCTTTCAGCATGTAGAACAACTCTTGCCGGATAAATCCACCCTGAGGATGAGAAATAACACAATCAAGAATCGTCTGTGTGTGTGCAAAGCATGAGATCATGGTAACCCCAAAATGTTGGTTGGGGTTACTCTAGCAGGACTCAAAAAGCAAGACAGGCTAACTATGCTGCACAATTAATAAGCAGAATTTGGCTAACAAAACTATTTGGTCAAGAACCTGAAAACCCATGAATCAATCAAGAAACAACAAATGTGCTGAAACTGGAGAAGAAACACAAGAACCCAACACACCATAAAGCCTGATTGACAAAATAACATTAAGAGGTAAGAAAAAAACCCCATTGAAGAGCTGAGCTAACTTACATCTTTTCTATATATGGCTCCCTGGAAGTATAGCAGAGTAGGACGGCTATCAAAATCGGACGTATCGTTCACATAGTTCCGCACGACATGCTTGTAAGGGGCAATAATGTCTTTCTCAACATTAGCCACAGAGGGAGGATACCTTCCAAAGTCAGACAGAATGAAAATTGCGGGCCAAAGCTTCGACCTTGCATCTATCAAGCTGTTCGGGTGGTGGGCAAGGACGATATGGTCCTTCCCGCCGGATCTCTTCCATTCTTCTTGAGCAGTCAAGAAAGTCACCAGTTTCTCTTGCAGCAAAGAGTTCATGCTCATTTTCCTACGCGGCGAATTCGATTTCGAGAACCGGTTGTAGCAAATCGACGAAAAGAATGGGACGAAAACAACATCTGCTTCCTTTGAATCTGTCACCCTCAAGGCAGATCGACCGCTTGTGTCAGCAAGGAATTGGGAATTCAAGAGATCCAATGTGAGCCAATACTCTATGCTATGTTGCACATTCAACCCGCCGGGATATTCGGGGACCTGTGTTCTAATATCCGGCCAAACACTGTTCTTATTATTACCATCAGGCTTCCAACCTAAGAGCCCAAAGTGAAATTCTGGGGGTAAATTGTACATGTAGACTTTAAGGACTGGCTTAAGACTGTAATTGCTAGAGGAGGAGGAGGAGGAAGGCGATCTATCATAACCTCGAATTGGGTCAACAGGGGACAAAAGGGTTAGGTCGACGGAGAGAGGCCTATGGGTGGATCGCAGCACGAAAAACCAAGAGAATATGAACAGAATCGAGGTGAAGATGAACAACCCTAACATCCATTTCTTACCGAATGTTCCCATGGAGTGCGCATTTCTCTCCGCCATTGATGAAGAAACCCCTCATCTTATGAGAGTCGGTAGATCATCATCGCAGAGCATTGCACATCGAGAATCACGCCCTCTTCTTTCCTCTGGGCACTTCTGGGAATGTATCAAGATCGATCAGAATCAGAAACCCAATGCTGGGAAATGGGTCTGTTTGATCAAGGAAGAACAATTGGTTCTTGAGCAATGCAAGCCAAGAAAAGTGAATGCCCAGTTTTTGTTTTTATTTTTGCATTCAGGATTTTCGGATAGATTTGATTTAATGAGACTGGAGAAAAAGAGGAAAGAGATTTGGGTATGAGGAAATAGGAGATGGAGCAAAAATGGAGAAGCTGGTTGGGAGGTGGTTACACCAAATGATGTTGAAAGTTTCAAGTCAAAGATATCTCTTTATTCCTTGTCGCGTTGCTGAAAACCCCATGGGGTTTCTATTTCTTGTTTTCACACATCCATTCATATCATATCTACATGAAAAAAAGTAATCCTTTCCTCTAAAAATTATTTCTAAAAAAAGTAATCCTTCCCTCTAAAAATTGTTAAACTTTATTTTATTACATATTTGATTAAATACTAATGTTATTTTTAATTTTGTAGATCTTTTGATATAGTTTTTAGATATGTAATTTTTTATTTTTTAATTGCACGTCATTTTTCATATAAAACAAGTTCTTTTGTAATCTTTAGGTTCGTGGTCTTTATATAGATTTCAATACATAATTATTATATGTATTGAGCCTTAAAAAAGAAATCTAGTTATGAGCTCACATGTGGGTCTTAAGACCACGATAGCATAACTTTTCATATAAAATGATTTGAAAATAATTTTAGTCAAATATCGTAACGTACAACAAAAAGATAACTTTTAGGTGGCAGGAGTAAAATACATAGAATTTTTTACTTCCAAAAAATGAACAATAATTATTTATTTTAACTTTTCACGATCTTTGATTTTAAAAAATTTGTTTTTCATGAAGTTTTCACAATCTTTGATTTTTACATTGCAAGTTAATATATTTTACTAGCAAAGATCATTCAAACTTTAATTTTACCAAGTGAATACATACAATTATTGAGAGGAAACAAATATTTTTAGGACCCATTTACTAAGCGCAAGAGATATGAGTTTTTATATCTCTCTATATCAAATTTCTATTTTATTTGGTGATACATAAAAGGAATTCGATATCTAGAGATATCACATCTTCCAAATTAAGGATTTGGATTTTAAGTTTCATATTGTGTTGACATTATTTTTGACAAACCAATAGATTTGTCTAAAATTATTTTAGATGTTTTATTTAGACTTAGAATCCTTGCATGTGAAGAAAGAGAAAGAGGAAAGAGTTTGAAGAGAGAATTCTAATCCTACTTGGTTTACTATTCTTGAGGAGAAAGTCATAGTTGAGACTCCTAACTACACTCTAACAGGGTTATTATATTCCATATATTACCTTCTCCCTCCCTTATGGTTTGAGTGTGCGAAAATACGGTAAAAACATAAGCAAATCCGATCGGAAGAAAAACAAGAAGGTGCAGATTTTGACAGTGCAAATTTTCTAGACAGCTTGCACGAATTTGATCATCGTCGGAGATTCGGCCGTTGGATTTTGCTGAAATTTTTAAAGAGTGTTCCCAACACATAGGGATTCAACGTGTTCAATTTTCACGTCAATCGAAGTTACGTATCTTCTGTTATCGAAGTTACAATCTACATATTGTTGTAGTTTTTTTTTCAGAAAACGCAGTTCTGGTTTTGTCGATGGTTGGATTACCAAATCTAGTCTGATCGTGCTGAAATTGTAGGAAGAGTCTAAGGACTTGTGGAGCATCAATCTAAAAGGTGGAGATCGAATTCCAACAGTTCAATTTTGATTTATGAGCTTCGAATCAACCTGCATATTTTTGTAGAGAAAGGCAGAATCATTGTTTGAAGGTGTACTGGAATCTACGTCCTTGAAGATGATCTTTGAGAAGGTGTAACAAGCTGCGGAGATTGACGCAAACAGGGTTTGTCGTCAAGTCATTCGTAAGTAGACAAATCAATACATTAGAAGGTTCTCTTGTGATTTGTTGTGTAATTCTTACGGTGATTTAGTGGAAGGGCTGTTATACGGACGTGGGCCTCGTAGACGTAGGCGAGTTGCTCCGAACTGCGTAAATAATTCTTGTGTACTGTTTACTGCTTTTACTTTATATTATGTGTGTGTGCTTGTGATAGAGAAGATGTTATAGCACACCGTCTGTTATCTGTTACTGTGACAGTGTTGGGGTATCTTCTCTACAGCATAATTGATTGATTTGTTTGCATAGCTCTTAATTGCTGATTTCCGCTACACCCTCACGAACTTACATGGATATCTCCTGAATTTGAGAGATATCAATGTGAGGATTTGATCTCTCTCAACCGTCGACCATCCCTCACCACCGGCTACCACTGCCACCGCCAACCAACCCTCTTGTCAGCAGTCTTTGCTAATCTCTAATTAAATCATGATTTTAAATTTCTCTAAATAAATTTATTTCAGAATTTAAAACTACACCATTTCTCCAAAATTTCAAAATACACATCATATCATATCTACAAAACTTAGCAAACAGGTTGTTAGAGTATCCCACATGAAAACTTGATGAGAAAATAAATTGATATATAAACTCTTAAGTTAAACTAAGTAATCGATTAGATTCAATCTTTTAATGCAGTTCAAGACCCAATCGAGTTAGCATCATATTAATGGACTTCTATTCTTTACTACAAATGGGGCAAGATTATAGTTTCCTTCGTATCTTGTATGTATACACATTCTTTATAGGTAGCGAGTTTGTGTAAAATTCTTTCCATCCTAAATGGTCTTAATCTTTACAAAATACCAATCCAATCTGTCTAATCCAATCCTTGAGCTCTCATCCCATGATTAGGAGTGTTGATCAATAAACCAAACCATATCAAATTGAACAAAATATGGACCAAAACCAGACCTAAACCTATTTGGTTTTGAAACAAACTAAACTAAGATACTTACAAACGAACCAGTTTAGACCGATTGAGCCAAATAAAAAAAATACTTCCGTCCAAAAATTGTTTTCCTGTTGCGTGTTACAATGTTTGACTGAAGTTATTTTCAAATCATTTTATATGAAAAGTCGTGTGAAATTAAAAAAATATAAATTACATATTAAAAATTATATCAAAAGATCTATAAAACTAGAAATATCATGACTATATTATTTTATCAAATAAATAACAAGAATAGGCTAACAAAGTGAATAAAATTTAACCCTGTGAATAGTAAACGAGAAGATAATTTTTGAACGGATGAATTATTTTGTAATTATTTTGATCTTTTAATTATATTTTGCACCTTACAAATAAGAAAAAATAAAATGAAAAAAACAAAAAAATACTCTCTCCGTCCTAATTTATAGTGCCTGTTTCGGTTTACGATGTTTGACTCATATTATTTTCAAATCATTTTATATGACAAATGGTATAGAGTTAAAAAATAAAAATTATATATTAAAATATTACATCAAAAGATCTACAAAACTAGTAGTAACAATAGTATGTTATTTTATCAAATTGCCAACGAAAATAGAGAAAGAAAGTAAATAAAATTTAACTCTATGATAGTGAACATGCATTATAATTTGGGATGGAGGGAGTACATGACATGAACTATATATAATCATAAAAACTATTGAATAGATTATTGAAACAGAATTGTTAAATAAATTATTGAAATTCTTCTATTGAATTGTTAAAAAAAAATTATTGAATAAATAACTATGTTAGTTAAATAAATTAAGATATCTCTAAAAATTAAACAACAATGTGTAGTACCAAACTTAAGAAGTAGATTTTTAGTTTTTTACAAGTAATATTTAACTCTTTTAGGTCCAATAGAAACGGACCCTAACCCGAATGCCTAAAATTTTTAAGCCAAAGACCAACCCAAAATTCATTCAATCCAGGTTCAATCTGGACCTAACAATCCGATTCAATTGATTTTTTCAGTCCAAACCTAAACTTGAACAGCCTACCCAAAACCCATGATAATCAATCAACTATTTTGAAGAACACTGTTAGGAACCCTTTTGAGCTTGGATAAAGTCTTGGATTATTATAATCCCTAAAGATATATCGAAGAACATTTTGTTTCACTAATATTTTTTTATTGATGTAGAGAATCCAACAACATTTCAACAAAACTAAAGCATCAATCCTGCTATTAACCTTTTTTGAACGTGAAATCTGAATCTTGACTATTGTGTAACAAACAAAATCTAAAACAAAAAAAGGACGACGATGAAAGAAAAACACACAAAGCATCAAAAACCCCAAATTACTGCAGAGATTGTCCCAATCCATTCATTCTACAGCTGCATTTTCGAAGAAAGGAGAGACCACTGAAGCAAGAGCTTCTAGAACTGGAACTGCATCTCTGTGTCATAGCCAAGAGCTTCAAGGTGGGCAGCCATGGCTTTGTTCATGGGTGGTGGCCCACACCTCAATATCTGCACAGTCATTCATCATCACATCAAAACCTCCATATATCATTATTCAAAAGAATTGAAGATTGGATATTGATTGAATCCAATCGTTGAAAATTTCTGGTATGGGACTCAGTATCTTATTAATTTATCCTTTAGAAGTTTTAACAATTGAACAATTATGTCATTTTGAATCTAGAAGATTGAACTCCTGCAAAAAGACTTTTTTAGACAATCGGGTGGGTTAGATGGACCACGGGCAAAATAAACTTCCATATGGCCAACGCAACTAAAGAGATCATTGAGAATGGACCTCCGGATGGACAACAAACTTGCTCTGATAGCACCATAGAAGTTAGGATTGGGTTAGAGTCACGAGACACATTGGTCAAAGTAGACTAAAAGATTTAATCTAATCAATTAGCTAATTCGACCCAGATCGTTTTAAATCATTTTTCTCTATTTAATGTTCTAGTATGAGACTCTAAGAATTGTTATGGATTCTTGTCATTTAAACAATATAATAGTCGCAGCAAATAATAAGACCAACAACCCAATAGAATCTCACCAAAAAAAAGTCTGGGGAGGATGTAAGGTCTGGGTAGAATTAGCTAATTGATTGGACAACCAACTTGGGAAATAGGGAGATACCTTAATATCAGTTGCAGGTGGTGGGCAGTGGGATTTGATCATTTCCTTTGATACAAAACTGACACCGCCACTCCATTCCTCAGGAGGCTG